CGGCATCGGCAAGGCTATCGCCGCCGACTTGCTGGCGCTAGGTGGGCGCGGGGGGGGCGGGTGAGCTCCGCAGGGAGAGCCCGGTGGGGCAAAGGGGGCAGAGCGAGGGTCGGGGGGAGCGGGCCCGGGCCGGGCGTGAGGTGAATGCGGGGGCTGGAGTCTGAGGGGCCGCCTCAGGGAGCGCTCAGGTTGCGGCGCGTTGAGGGAGCGGGGCTGTGGGGACGTGAGTGAGGGGGACGTTGTGACAGGAGTCGGGGAGTAGCTATTTTAAAATACTGCGGTCGAAGGGAAGTTATATTAAACCCGGGCCCTTTCTCTCATGCTCCCTCTGAAGTGAGTTGCGGTGGTTGAACGGAGTCGCAGAGCAGTGTGGCTTTGGAGCCATTGTCCCCACGGGGAGCTGAGGGAAATGGGGCTTCTCTCTCACCGCTTGTGACAGGAACGTCCTGAGGTTAAAAGTATTCCTTCAGCCTGCGCTCTGTGGTATTTCTTTCCACGCTGGTTACAGAGAAATGGTACAATCTGGAGTGAAAGGCAGCCTTCTGGGTCATCCACCTTGCGGCACCTTTTCGGCAGGTTTCAACATTAGTGCTAGGGATGATCGGCGTGGGACTGGTTTCGGATAATGTTAATTATCTGGTTGGATTTGCCGTTTTCAAAATACCGGCACCAGCATTAAGCCTCAGGGCACCACACTCCCCCGGTTGGTGCTGTTGCGATGTGCACCCCGCGATGTTTCACGGCATAGCAAAAGGCTTGCTTTGTTAAGGCCGTGTGCTGGGAGACATCTCTGCCTCTCCTGGCCTTTGTCCCCAGCTCCCCACTTGCTCTGTGGAGCTGAAGTAGGGGCTAGTTCTGCTGCCTTTGCATTACTGGGGAACAAAGCTTTTTTTTTTTTAAGGTGTCCTCACATGCTGCCTTAAAGAGCTGCTTTTTAAGCACCATCACACTTGATTCATGATGTTACCCAGTTAACTTGAAACTGTACTTAATTTAATCTGCATTATTTTTCTCAAGCAAAATACGAATAACAAAAGTGTGTGTCCATAACCTCCTAAATAGAAAACCAGGCTGCAAATCTCTACAAAGCATGTGTGAGAAAATGAAGAAAGAGCTATGGCTTAAGTCTGAGTAACATTACTTACCTGCAGACTCACTGGGCTTCTCCTGAGGAGAACATGACCAGGAACTATTTCCATGCATACATTGCACTTGAAGCTGTATTGTTTTTTGGAGGGGGGCTGACTGGACAGAGAATGTCTGTAGGAGCAGTGACAGATAATGCCAGTCATGATGTACATTGTTTTTATAACCAGTGCCCTTTGAAGCCCTCTGGACAGAATTAAACCTTTCATCTGGAAACTTGTGCCCTTTTCCCTCTGACCCTATCAAGAAATGGTCTAGTCTTTCTTTGTGAAGAAAAATAAGTGATGTCAGCTTGTCCACTACAGCTTGTTCCTCCATGAGTTAGAATCTCCCCTTCCCCCAATTAATGTATTTAGCAAAAATATGGTCTTTTACTGGACCTTATTCTATATCAGTTTGTGTATTAATAAGCACTTAAGTTGCCCAGAGAGGTGGTGGAGTCCCCATCTCTGGAGACATTCAAAACCCACCTGGACGCAATTGTTTGCACCTGCTGTAGGTGAACTTGCTCTGGCACAGAGGTTTGACTAGATGATCTCGAGGGGTCCCTTCCAAGCCCTACCATTTTGTGATAAATATAACCGTCATACTGTAAATTAATATTTTGTATTAATAATTGTGTGTGCAATTTTATGAACTCTGCATTAGTCAAGTGGTTGTCCAAGTGACTAGAGGTCTTAATTTAAAAAATCAGGAGATCTCAAAGACTAATATATTCACATGTGTTGTTTTAAGATAGCCACTGATTGAAGATGAAACTCCTATTTCTAGAGAGATGTAGTTGCAGCACTTCCTTCTGGAAAAATTCAACTCCTCTATTTTATTTTCTCTTTTTTTATTTATTTTTTTTTTTTTAGTTTTATGTATAGTTTCACAAGACAGTCTGTGCCAAATGAACAGCTTGCTGCTCTTTACTCCCACTAGTTATTTTGAGTTGATTTTGGTGTTTGTTTGATCACATGAGAGGCCAAATTCCACTCAGTAAAATAGCAACAAAGAAAAAAAAAAAACAACCTGGCAAGATGTTAACTTTTTCTTTTTTTGCTGGATGAGGGTCTTGAATTGATTTATGTTAAAGCAGATGAGCCACAGAAATGGTATGAGGAAGGGATGGCTTCTGCTCTAATGCTGAGATTATGGAAGGGAGGAACTGGGAGCAAGACCTTCTCACTTGCTTGGGAGTGGAAGCTACTAATTTGCTTATCCATAATATGAAAATGCATGCCTGCTGGATTTGCACTAGGAATTAATTTGGTGTGGTCTGTTTTAGTCTATGTAGTAGCAATTGCTGAAGCCTTAAAGCTGTCCTGAGTCCACTGGTGTGACAGAAAAAACTAGACTGGTTGTACTGTGAGTGCTTGCCATAAATTTGGCACCTGCTTTGTTTTTCTCTGTAGAACGAGTCCTTCTGCATCCAAATGCTGCAAAAAACCCCACCCCAAAACCAGAAAGCTCCAGTTCCCCCCAGATTTTTCCTCTTTTCTGAGCTAGGATTCTACGGCTTGTGGCAGTGCCACAGGGAAGCCTCTGTTCCTGCTGTCTGTAGTCTGCAGATAGGAATTAATCTCGTGAGGTTATTATTTTTTCCCTCAGACTCTGTAGGGTTAAAAAGCAGAGCATTACATTTGCTCACCACTAGTCAAAATTACAGCTAGGCATACAGTAAGATTATTTTTGTGGTTTTAGAAGCAAACATTTTTTTGCAATCAAGACCTGCTGAAACATCTTTAAATCACGTAATTGATAAATGAGGCGGCTGTGAGCAGAGGCAGCAAAAGTGATGTCTGAAAGCTATTTTGCTGACTCTGCAACTCACAGTCTGTCTTCCCTTCTGCAGGAAGGAGAGGGAACCTTGTGGGTGTTTTTTTTGATTGCTCTTTCCCTGGCACAGTGGGATCTTGTTGCTAAGAAGCATCTGACATCAGTCATTTCTCTCTCTTGCAAGAGCTTCAACACTGTATCTTCTAGTGAGTGATTAATAAACGCATATCCTACGAGATATCTCTATGATGTTATTAAAAAAGCTAGCATAACTGTAATGTTAACTATGTTAGCTGAGGAATGTTTCATTTTGTCTCTACAGGTTGCAATGTTGTTATTGCCTCTCGTAAATTTGACCGATTAAAAGCTGCTGCAGAAGAACTGAATAAGTCGTTTGCTTCCGTGAGTGCCAAAGTGACTCCCATACAGTGCAATATCCGCAACGAAGATGAGGTAAAGACTAATGATGTTGTTCTGAGGCTTAACATGTCAAAAGCATATTGTGTATGTAAATTCTCAGGTCTCCAAAGGTCTTCTCTCCTTTCTCAAAAGTGGCTTAGATCGAGGGGACAGGTGCACTAAAGCACAGTTAAATTTATCTAGTTAAAAATGTGCTTTCCAAGGGAAGACCATTTGTTAGACACGTAAGCAAGAAACCATTTGTAATTGCAAATATTTTTCTGACCATGCAAAACTATTTCAGATATCTCTGGGACAAAGAGGCCTTGGACCTGGCATGTTCTACAGCTGAACAGGAGCCCGCTTAGCATGGTTCTGTGTCATATTTCTGTGACTGCAGTTAACTTGGGAAGATGGAGACTTTGGAATAGTTCCTTCAAACAAGAAGTCATAGCATAGAATCTCAACACTTGCGTTGTTGGTGTTGCTTGTATTAAAGCCAAAAAAAACCCCACCGATATTATTATTTTTAGCATGTTTCAATGGCTAAAATTGTTACAATTGAGGGCAGCCTCATTACAAACTCTATTACTATTCCAGTTGAGTTTTTTCTTCTTCATATTACAGAAAATGGAAGATCAAGAGCAAAAGTATTTAATCCAGGTTCTTCAGAAGTCTGCATTCACATCCTAACTTTTAATCTCTGTAATTAAAAATTTAAAAGTCCAGCATCAGGTTGGACTTCTAACATACTGAAGAGAGCTAGAAAATATTCCAGTAACTACTGATTGCTACATTTTTCTTAACCTCTCAAAGTCTCTGTTAAATTCTAGCATAAACTCTGCAATTTAAAGGAATATTAATGACCTTCAGTACCTATCTAGGTTCTGGAAATATCCAAATATACAACCATAAAGCAAATAAAAAGTACAGTTCTTCCCTCATGGAGCAGCTCGTGCCATAAAATATTTATAGTGATAGACTTAGACTTTCTCTCCTGAAGGATACAAACCCTGGGGCTGTGCAGTGTGTCACTTCACCTACCAGTGAATTTTAGGTTTGTATTTACTAGCATCAGCAGTGTGATATAATAGGTTATGACAGATGTCAGAGGGCAACTTGCATCATTAAAGCTACAGGAAAGAAAAGGGGTAAAGAGAGAGAAAAGGCTTAAGCCTTCTCTCACATCACTGTTCCTGCAGAAAGTACTCTGGCATGCTTAATAACCTTCTGCAGGTGAATCCTATTTCTGTGTCAGTTTGAAAATGATTTAGTGGGAACTGCAGTGTTGTGTGAGATGGTAGAGGGCTTGGATGGTGAAATGAGGCAATCTCCATTAAAAACCCTACCATTCCTCCTTTGTTTCCTGTGTATTAGGTGTGGCTAAATACGTATTTGACAAAACAGTCTCAGATGGCTTTGGAAACTTAAAGGTGCTTTTAAAGCCTTTTTTATAGTGCTGTGTGAAGTGTTTATGCATTATTCTGTGTTAGTGGTAGCCGTGCTGATGCTTGGAGAAACTTCTGTCTTTGCTATTACCCTGCAGCTTCGTCGTAGAATTGTCTCATTTCTAGTTTAGTTTTAAGCTCTACGCATTTACAGACACACCAGAGCTTTCTTAGAAATGTGATATTGGAGAAGCCTCTACCATGTGTCTTCTGCCACTGGAAGTTCTTATAAACCGTGGTCATTTCATATCCATATCTATTGAAGAGAGGGTTCAGAGGGATATGGTAGATTAACTTCAGCCTTGAATTTTTCAGGCATTGACTCAGTCTTACAGTTTGGCTCACTTAGTTCTCCAGCTGCTCTTACTTGTTTCTGTTGAAATCCTATTTAGAAAAAAGTGACTATGAACATTTCGTAAGCCTTTTGTGGAAGTTTTGAATAAGAAGTGCAATGTCTGAGGGAACTTAAGTGTACTCACTAAACAAATATTTATCCATTCCAGATGCCCATCTCCAAAACCAGATATTTTTACTGGTTAGAGACATCCTGTGATTTTTGTTCTTTAGCTCATTTTTCTTGCTCTATCCACCTCCATTAGTTCTTTAATGCTGAGATTCTCAAAGATTGCTAAATCTTTGCCACTTGTTACTTGATTTCTAAAATTACTCTTGGATCAGAAATGTGTGGATCACTTTTTCAGCTTTTAAATTTGTAGGAGGGTAGCACTTCCTTGTGCTTAGTGTTTGTAAGTTGAAGCTAGATAAACTCAAATTAACGATGGGTAACTTACACTGCTAAAAACTGTCAGAACTTAGAACCAGGGATGTTACAGATTTTCCACAACCCACTGCAAGAGTGAATGCTTTTTTTCTAATTTGCACTTGATTACATTTTGGAGACTAGAGGAAAAGTACCTTTGTGCTTTTATTTCTATACGAAGAGCATTGTACATCCCACTTTCAAACCTATTCCATTCTTAACCTAAAATTTGGTGTCTGGGACTTGGAGTCTTAGGAACAGGGGTCAGTAAAAGATATAGTGAAGGATTTTTCTAGCTGTGAGGTAAGTCTTGAATAGAGGCAACACAGCAATATAACTCACTTGAGCATCTTCACAAATACAGAAGTAGCTTCTGTTTACAGTTGAAGATGGGGTGAGAGGGCATTTAAACTTTTGGCTTCCATCCCGAAACCCTTGTACAACTGTGTTGGCTCCGTATGCTACTCATTAATAGCTCTACAACTCATTGCTTCCAGCTTAGTATGAATGAAAAGTATTTACCTCAGAAATTCACAGCAGCACACTGTTGAGAGGACAGCCTCAACAAGTATTCCCTGTGAGTCATCACATCATCTTTCTCAGCTCTTATACCAGGTACCAAAGAACGGGTGAAGGAGAAAGACTTCATAAATATTTCAACAAGGGAAAAAACTTAGGAGTTCAAGCCTCCTTAGATGTCGGAACTGATCCATCACAAGCTACAAAGCCCAGGAAGCTTCCTGGAGAACTACATAATTCATTTAATGCATCCTTCTCTTTGACATCTCACTGCAACCTTTCTAAGAATAAATCTTTTTCTTAAAGGAAGCCACTGTGATCACCTGTAGGAACAAGCCATTTGTTCTTACTGTAGCATGCATTTTTTGGTTGTTTTTTTTTTTAGCCCTCCATCTCCATCAGTTTTTCTGCATTTCTGTAAAGGCCCCCTATGAATTTTGTCCTGGTTTTAATTTTATAATCAGGCAAACTGGAAGGAGGGACTTTGAATAAAGGAGATCCAAGAAAGATGAAAGTGCTTTTAGAATTGCCAGTTGATTATTTTTTTTTGCCTCCTATTGCAAATCTTAAAGTAACTGACCTGCTTTGAAGATGACATAGCTCATTCTTCTTGTGTGCCCTAGTTTGGATTTGTGAAATTCAAGCATTAGAAGATTCATCCCTCATAATATAGTGCAATATGTCTGTTACAGCTCTTTCTGGCTTAGGAAGAGTCAAAGAAGGTGCAGTGAATTAATTGCTACAGGAGCTTGATGACAGATGTCACGGGAATAGCTTAACGAATTCACATTTTTAAGTCTCTTAATCTCATCCTCAGAGGCCCTCTTGCTTTCTAGAAAAGCTTACTTTTCATTTAATGTGCAAGAAATAATCTTGCTTGATGGAGGATTTTCAACCACTGTGTAACCTGTCAGGCTTATTTCTGTCACGAGTTTGCTGCTGCTGCTTTTGGCTAGTTTTCCATTGAGTGTTTTGTAAAGGGTAGCAAACCTGGTTTTGTTTTTAAAGATGGAACAGTAGAGGGTTCTGGGATGCCTGTAAGAGAAGGCAGGGTTTCTATCTTCTGTCTTTGTGGGGCTTTATCCTGAAGCAGTGATTGTGCATCTGTGCCGTATCCTGTGATCTGGAGAGTATGTAGTGATCAATATTGCTTCTTAGCAATTATGAAGCTGAAGTGTTTTAATTATTTGGATATTTTCTATCACTGCCCGCATAATGTGTTGAATATAACAAGAGCAGGTGAGTCTGCTCTTTCTGAGATGCAGGTGAGACAGCTCTGTGTGTGTGTGTCTTTTCAAACCAAGCTCTTTTTCCAAAATCCAAGGATCTAATTAATTAATTTCAGTGCCTCAGTATAATGGTGGACAGAGTGGAGGAGAGAAACCCAATCCTTTTTCCATTATGAAAAGAACATATTTTTTTCATCTGTAGGTGTTGGGAATGGGAAGCATGTGTTTGTGTGTCTTAAATGTTGAGCCACAGCAAATCTGTTGATGGGGGAAAGAAAGACATGAGGAACTTTTTACCCTTGCAAAGCCTTTGTGCTATATGTTCTGGACAAACATTTCTTTAATGGGTATCTAGATAAGTAGAAAACACATCTAGGTAAGCGGAAGATAAAAATTTGTCTTTCTAGTAGGCCACTGCTCTTCTTGAAACCAGCAATTCAGAATTCTGTGCGGTGTCCCCTTTCCATGCTTGAGCTCCAGCAACAAGTGCTGCTGGACCAGATACTGAGGATAAAACTTGTCACTTGAGTGTCTGACAAACGAGTCCTTCAGACAGACTCAATACACTAATATTTAGCGCTAACCTTGTGTCTGAGATTACTAGTAGCTTTTCTTTTCCAATAAACTTCATAGCTTAATATAGTCTCAATTGGTTTATAAATACTTATCGCCTGTGTGAAGCCTGTAGTGGAAGAGTGTGGCTTGGTGGGGAGCTGTGGATAAGAGATTCTTTTTGTTGTACTTTAAAATAACACAGCAATGATACAAAGTAAAAATACCTGTTATCACTGTGTAAGAATGCCTAATAGTTCTAGCCCCCAAATGGCAAATCTCTAACTCTCTGCAGTGGGTAGTTTGCCTATTGGGTTTTACTCAAATTCAAAGTGACCCGTGAATGCATGTGGACGTTTGTCCCTTTTCTGTGTCAGCAAGTACTCTCATCTCAGTTACCTGTGAAAGTGTGCTACTGCATAATACTTTTGAGTGTCAGTCAAGCAAAAAGGGTCCTTATTGAAGAGCTCCAGTCTTCTGGTTATGTCTACAGTGCCTGATTTTGTTCTTTTCAATCTTTTTCAGAAGAACATCCTAAACCGCTAACTATGGCTTCTGCAGTTTTATTTTGCTTCCAGAGACGGTCTTTAGTAGCTTTTTTTATTAAGTTCTTTCTGTGGGGATTTTGTATATTTAGGAAGAGAAAGGAATCTTATTTAGGGCTCACTGTCCTTTAAATGTGTTCTACCAGATCCTCTTTCCCACTGTGCTGGTGGCTGCTGTCACCATGTTTACTACAATTGGGAGAGGCACTGCAAGGATGCTTTCTTTACACTACAGAAGACATTGTGAAGATTGCTACAGTTGGAGCCATCTGAGCTGTCACTGGAGAGCTTGCCAGCCTTTGCTGGCTTTTGGAAAGCAGAACTGACATGTGTTTGTGGGGGTTTTTTTATTGCCCTAAGAATATGGTGCGACAAATAAGAACAACAACAGAGTTTCTGAAGATACAACATGAACCATTTTGAATTGATATGTCACAGCAGGTTTTGTCCCCCTGTTGATATCTTTCTTGTAATGTCTCAGTAGATTTTTCTTCTGGTGTTTTTTTGTTTGTTTGTTTGTTCGTTTTTTAAGATTCTTAGCATTCCCTTTTCTTTCTCTCCTTCTCTTCCCTCCAGCCCCAAGCTTGAACAGCCTTCAAACATTCCTTGTACTGAAACCATTTCTCTCCCACAAATGAGTCCATACTTCAGTGACTTATGAAGAACAATATTCAAAGCAAGATTCTCAGGCTGACAGGGAGAAGAGTTTGACATTGCTGAGCAAAGTATAACTTTTGCTACCTAGAGAGACATAACTTACTTTTCTCTGGTTGTTAGCAGACCTAGAAGTCTTAGTGACAAGATGATTCTCACAAGTTATGGGTTTAGAACTGCTGTCACAGATGTTTTGGTTTTTTGGTGTGTTCTTTCCTCAGATCCCACAAGCTGCAGTGATCAACATGAGAAATAAGATGCCATTCAGAACTTAAAGATGGTGATTTAGGTATCAAAATTATTTTCTTAAGGCATTTTTTCTCAGCAGGCATTAGTTTTTCAATCAAGCTTCAGTCATTATATGTTTGTTTAGGTTTTCTTCTTCAGAGATGTGCATATTTACAGGATCCATACTATCCTGTTAAACCATCCTGAACTGTTAGCAGCAAAAGCTGTAAGGCAGCCCTAGTGAGATACAGATGGTGCGTTGCTTGTTCTTTTGTCTCTGATATTTTCTACTGCTAACTCAGTAGATACTACTGAGGAAGGCTGATTGATACCCTTCCGCTAGTCAAATCTGTTTCAGCAGTAGCGTCGCTCCTGCTGTTTGTTTTTTGGGGTTTTTTTGGTCTGTGTTTTCTTTGACCACAGATGCTAGATAAATTTCTTATGTATGCTTGAATAGGAGTAACTGATGCATGGTATCTAGTTATGATAGATAATGTAAGCAGGAAACAGTCATGTTGTCCCATTTCCTCAATTTCTTGAGATAAAGGTTAAATTATTAAGCAGTTGCTATAGAGTTCTTATTAGTATCTTGTAATAGGAAAACATCAGCTTTGGTATCTGTAAAATCTTTGAATGCTTTGAAATACATTCCCCTCCAGAAGTTCTCTTCCGTTTAGTGCGTGTGGTGAAACTGCTGTACTTCCCAAACAGAAGACAAAGCAAAAGGCTTAGGTTACAGCCTGTAGCTCAGATTAGGTCAGTGTTAGAGCTAGGTTTAGATTCTCAAAATCTCTTTCCTTCCATATGAACTTAAGCAGCTCCTTTTCTGCGCTGACAGCGCTTTGAGTGAGTGAATAAAATATCTGTTGATATTTGCTGTTAATACCTTTTCAGAATAAATAATGCCAGACAGTGCTCTTAATTGTAAGTTATTCATCCTACTTGTAGACAAAAGGTACCTGCTTAGTCAAATATTCACCTTTACTTTGCTAAAGAAGACAACTTGTGGTATTTCCATCACTTTTTAGAGTTCATGTTTTGTACAGTAACAAACTAACAGTCTTGGTTTGTGTAAGAAGATTGACTGTTGCCAACTCATCTGTCAAAGCTTTAGTACTGAAAAACTTCTAGATAAGGATGTTAAAACTTCACAAGATGACTTAAGTTTTCTATTTAAGATGCTAAGGTATATGGGGCAGATGAAAAAAAACCCAGCAAAACAGTAGCTACCTTATATGGAACTCTTCCAGGATCTGATGTGAACACCCCCACCCTTGTGAAACATGTCAGGAGATTCTTAGTAGGTCTTAAATAGCAGGGGTTTGTGTATTTTTGTTTTTAAAAACCTTTAGCGGCGTCGATCCCCTTCTTTCAGTTCTGGTATTTTCTGTAGCACCTGCATTATACCAGGAGGATTTCCTAAGTAAATATGGACTCGGCTCAATCCTTCTTGGCTGACTAAATCTGTCATACAAATCTTCCAGCCTCTATGAAAGCTGGTACCTCCTTTTTGTGTATGAAAAGGATATGAGAGAGAAAATACTGTCTGATAATGAAAGTAGGTGTATAGCTTAACCAGCGTACTAACAAATACTGTTTCAGGTAGAAGCTTTGGTGAAGTCTACGCTGAGTCTGCATGGGAAGATTGACTTCCTGGTGAATAATGGAGGGGGCCAATTCGCAAGTCCTTCTGAAGCCATCCGTGCAAAAGGCTGGAATGCTGTGATAGACACGAATCTGACAGGGACCTTCTACTGCTGCAAAGCAGGTAGGGACTGAACATTCAGCTCCTTTTGTTCATTTGTTTTGTTTTTCACAGCGATACCAGAAGACAAGAAATGTCAAGTTTCCCTACCTTCTGTTTTCACACCCATATCTGACAGTGGATATTTGTTTTCGTGAATCTCATCCAAAGCTTTACATTACATATTTTCATATATACATACATTTAGGCAAGTATAACCTTCTGGTTAAGGTCAGGTTTGGGGAGTCAATTGGCTTAGATACTCACTTAGAAGACAGTAGGAAAGCAACTTAAATTCTGTGGCCTGTATTCACTGTGTGTAGCACAGGAGAAGATTGCTCTCCCATCAGGGATGTAAATTGAAAGTTAATTTTAAGTATGGTACATGATTCTCAGATAGCATTGGGAATGTGGAAATGAAGCTAATTTATGTGGAAGCACGAAATCTTGATTTCCACCAAAAGGTGTCTTGACAAACATTGTGCTTTACCTGGATCTCACTTACCTCACCAGTCCAGTGGTGAGGATGTGGTACAAAGAGCAGATTGTTTATCTAAATCTGCACAGGAAATGTGTGGTGTAATTGGAGATTTGGCTTCCACTTGGCAAGTTCATTTGTATGCATTTCTTCTGATATTTATAGGTTATCTTCCTCCTTCATACAGTGTACAATGCCTGGATGCAGGAACATGGAGGAGTCATTGTCAACATTACTGCTGCCGTGAGAAATGGGTTTCCCGGAATGTCGTAATATATACTTTATTTTTACATTTTCCTGTCTTTTTCCCCTAGAAGTACTAATTGCTCCTAAACACAAAATGTAGTTGTACTACATTTTAGAAAGGCATGCACTGGACAGCAGCAGAGTATGGAAATACAGTAGTTAGGTCAAGAGAGAGCAATAGTATCACTTGGCTGTATGTGTGGGTATTTCTTATTAGTTCAGTAGAGACTACAGGAATAAATGACATCTCTGGGCTACAAGACTTGCCAGCGAAGCTCTCACTGGCAATGGTATGCTAGTGGGACTAGTTGCACTCAAATATAACCTTTACCTGTTCTCTGTCCAAATTTCTGGAGGATTTGCAAAAACTTGGCACTTCTTCTACTGTCAGTTTGTAGGTCATGATGGTGTAATGAGTTATGGGAATCAGACTGGGAGTAGGAAGAACATTCTAGTATGTTACCAGGTTTTGCTTTTGTCCTTTGAGTCACATAATGCCTGCTTTTCCCATTTTCCTTTTTGCCCTCGCAAACGAGATTTTGAAGTTGTGAAAATGCTGCATTTTGGCAGTTTCTTGATTGGAAAAAATCTGAATTTCTTCTTTGAAACTACCTTTTCTTTTTTTAACTTTGAAATTTAATTTCTACTGAAGAAAATATAAAAATATAATTTGAGTAAATGTTTCATTACCTCTCTTTTCCTGATACAGTTTTGAAAGTTTTGAAAGTTTTAAATTTTTAAGGAACAGAAGAATATTTTCTCACTAACTTATTGACAGTATAAAATAAATTTAGAGATCCACAGGGTGGTGCTGAAGCTACAGTTATTTGATTTCTCCATTCTGGTTAAGTCTGGTTGAATTGTCACGGCAAATAGACAGAAGCTATATTTAAGAGTTGAACCAAGAGATAAAAAACTACTTCTGAAAAACAGTGGAAAAAGTTTCCCAAATAACTGTTGTATGTGGATGGATAGACAAAACTACTTTCAGATTAAATTACTGTTAAATTGATACTTGTTTTAGAAATGTACTATTGAAAAAGACTTGTCTTTACAAGTCCAGCCACTACTCATGCAAAAAATCACCTCATACAGTTTTTCTTAAGTATTAATTTTGAACATAAAACTAGTCCAGTTTGCTTATAGCATGCCTGGAGGTTATTTATTTCTTCCCTAAACAGATTAATAAATTGGGTTTTCTTATGTTTTTCTTAAGTTTTTCTTACTCCTTTCCTGGTATTTGAGAAGCTCTTGTATCTATCTCCTAAATCTGTTTTGCTAGGCTAAAGAAACTAAACTCTTAGTTTTCTCTGAGTCTCACTCTCCACTACTCATCACTGCAGTAATTTTGTCTGCATTTGTTCAAGCTTGTAATCATTTCAGACTTGTTTCTTGTAGCAGCAAGGTGAATGAGATCACTCTGCCTACAGTTGTCTCTGTCTCCATCCACCTATAGTAATTTTTGAATAGTGGCTTATTTTAATCATGTTTGTCAGAAGACCTAAACTATTTTTCAGACCACTGGTCTTCCAAGTGTTTCTTTACCTGTGCAGCCTACCTTTCTATGGAGTTCGAACTTTGCCTGCAGGTTTTTTCCCATTTTATAAGCCTGCTGTAGCTGACCTCATGTCATGTTGGGGAAGAGACAAGTATTTCCAGAAAATACAGGAAACTGTAGCGTAGCTTGTTTAAACTGTGAAGCTATGGTCATACTTAAAAACTAGGAAATATCTCTGTTTCTCTCAGATGGTTGGTCCAGCCATAGAAAGCTGCTCTGACTACCCAAGTGAGGCTGCGGTAGAATTAACATTGAGCACTGGTAGCTGAGGGAACAGATGCTTTTTTTGCTTTCTTTTCTCATAGGCACACAGGAGCTGCAAGAGCTGCAGTCAATAATCTAACCAAGACTTTAGCTTTAGAATGGGCCCACAGCGGTGTCAGAATTAACAGCGTTGCTCCTGTAAGTATTGGCAAGTAACCTGATTAAACTTAGCTATCATATGTGTTAATGGGTAAAACTTTGAGGCCAAAAGGGATTTTAAAATCTATAGCCTGTAACTGCTTGTGGATTATTTATGTATATATTTATTCATAATTCTCTCATATGCGTTCTTCAGGTCGTTTTAGGGTGTTTTGTACTGCTTGGATGATGAGCCAGAGATGTGGGATAAAATTGCTTCTGCTTTCTGCTTTAACTTGGCACTCTTGGGTTTATTCTAGCTTCTGGGAGGAGTTGGTGACCTGTCTTACAAACCCTAGACGTAAAATAACTGAATGTTTTGTGTTTCAGTAGTGATTAAATTATTTCTGAGTTCACACAACTTTTTTTATTTGAGGTTCAGGTATGCTGGTGGTTTCCACCTGTGTTCACAAAGTTATTTTGAACTCTGAATGTGTCACATAAAGTAAAAGACATTATCTTTTGCTTAGTTTAGTTTTAGGCATAAAAAGACTGTGTTTGGAGTGGACTTTCTCTCAAAGAAATTATATGCAAAAAATGCGTGTTATGATTTTTTTCTTATCAAATACTTGCAGACAGGAAACCACTATAGAGGCCAGCTAAAATATGCCTGCCACATTTCTGAGGAAGTAGGTAGCAGGTAGCAATTGTTTTAAGTAACTGTATGGAAAGAGCAGCTAAATTTTCTAGTGCCATGGTGGTGTGTTCACAGAGGTTATATAGAAGCCCTAGCTTTGACACTTGAGATTGTGATCTGTTGTGATTTGTGTCATCTTCGTAACCACAATTTTGCACATTTACACCCTTAAAACAAAAGAGGAAAGGTAAACTTTGTCCAGTTACTTCTACATTCGGAATTTATCTTCTCTCAGAGTAAAGTGTCAGATTTGTTTAACTGGTCCCTAGGAAGATCTTTGTACTGTCTTTGTAGGATGTATATCCTGTGGTGCCTCTTGTCCTAAAACATCTGGCTCGCTTTCTTTGGCATAGCACAGAATGCTTAATGGCAGGTGTGTGATGATCCTTTAGGTAGTGGCTCTTACTTAGCCTCTGTGAGGCACAACTCATCTGGAGGCTTGTCAAATACTGAGATCTATCTGCTGTTTTGTTTCTCCTGTTTATTTGTTTTTTCTGATTTATCAAGTCTTGGGGAAGTAAGTAATTAAGACAGAGTTATTATGTGAGTGTATTTTTCAGGCATGCTATTTACCTAATGAATCATACTAATTATACTTTATAGCATATGACAAAAGAAGTTTTTGACAAGCAAACATTTCAGTGGTTTGGCTCTTTCGGAAGTATTTGCTAGCTTGGTTACTATGTTGGTAACAAAATTCCATGCTGTAGTTAGAGTAATACTTTTTATCCTTCTCTCCCCGCTAGGTCTGTGGTAACCATACAGACTCTTACTGCTTTATGGGAGCAGAGTAACGTGTAGGGAATGGGTACACAGAGAGGGAAACATGCATTCTAAAAACAATAGTTTAATGTATGAGATATTTCCCTAGCTCCCAAAATACAGTCTCTCACATTTCACAGATATCTTAGAAGAGAAATGTTAGCATGTACTCCATAGATGGATTCAAATCCATCTGTTATTTTACTTAAATACAAAAAATCCATTGTTATTTTACTTAAACTTGAGTCCCTAAGGTTCTATCGTAACTGATGTATGTAACCCTGTGTTCCCATTGCTGTAACCTTCACCTTCGCTCTCAAGTCTAAACTGGACTGTATAATCATCAGAGCAAAGAAAATCACCTTTTTCTATTTCTATAGCATCTAAGTAGGGACAGCCTGAATTCTGACTGTAAAATCTGTTTGCTTCAATAATTCACAATAAAATCGATCTAGTGTTCCTGCAGATTACAAGAAACTGTTGAGAACTTGTTCTTGGGGCTTTGTAGTTTTCTGCTGTAAGCTAATATGAAATGCTTGACATTTTAAGTTTCCTCTTTATACTCTCCACTTCATAGTTATTGAAGTGACGGTGGAGAATTGGAATAATCTGAATTATTTCACTTGAATAAAGATGCGGCTAGCAGCCAAATTAACTATTCCATTAAGTTTAAAAACTTGCATTCAGGTACTGTTTAGGTAGTTTCATACCACAGAAAATCCCAGTAATGACAACTTCACAATTTAACAATGATCACAGTTTAAACATATGCAAGAGAACTTAATTTTCATTATGCTCTTTTAAAACAGGGACTAATATTTTCCGAAACTGCTGTTGCAAACTATGGAGAACAAGGTATAATGTTGTGGTTAAAGAGCATACCAAAGATTCCTGCCAAGAGGTCAGGGGTTCCTGAGGAGGTAATGTATTTCAGAACATTTGTGATATTTCTACTTTGTCTCTATTTCGAAGTCACTTTATTATTTGGAGAAAAATAAAGACTTCATTTTGCACTGTGATGGAATATTAAAAAAGAAAAAAGCTTGTAGCTATGTCTAGTAGTGCCAAGTGGGAGACTTAACCAGTACTCACTGCTACATTGACATTTTAATTTAGATGCCTCTTACAGCTGAAGTAGAGTACTTTCATAGTAGGCATTAGTTCTGAAAAGGTTGACTTCCAGCAGGGAGGACTGAAAGAATGTAGATTAATGTGAAAAAAACTGTATCTTAAAACTCTTTTTCCACCATCTTTGATAAACTGGTCAACTTCTTTGTTTGTTTTTCAACATCTGATGCTGATCTGAGAGCTTACTGTTTTTCATCTGTTTTTCATCTGTTACGTGCTTGATGTTTGTGACTGGAAGGATGGCTTTAAGATGGTCACAGTTTTCATCACTGAGTAGAAAACATTGCTATGTCTTCCTTATAAAAGTTTTTACAAGCATCTTTGACACAAACAATTCCCAGCAGTTTAAGAAAGATTAAAATTGCCATTCTTTTGTTAGATCTCCCCTGTGGTGTGTTTTCTACTATCTCCAGCTGCTTCTTTCATAACTGGGATAACCATGGTCGTGGATGGTGGCCAAAGTTTATACAGCCATGCCCTAGAAATACCTGGTAAGAAATGGGCTACAGAATAATACCCTTCAAGTGTTTGAAGCTGGGCAATGGGAGGACACAAAAGTAAAATGCCTAGTTTCTCAATCAGCTAAGTATGTTGTTTTATTTGTTTTCCTCAGATCATGACAGATGGCCCTCACCACCAGAAGGAAAAAATTCTGAAATGCTTCAAAAGCTTCTTTCTGGCAAGTTCAAGCCAAAGCTGTAAAGGAATAAGGTTTCACCTTATTCCCAGTTGCATGCTTGCTGATAATTTCGCTTTGTGATTTGAGCTTACCATTTTAAATAATACAATTTTTTTGCTTATATGTAACTACCTTGAGTGCCTTGATTTTATGTTGGTTTATACTTGAAAAGCTGTATAGAGTAAATTTCTTCTCTGAAAACATTCACTGCTCTGAAAACGTTCGGTCTCTTGGGAAGGGAATGTATAAAAGACAAATTCTCCATTTGTATGGGCGTTAAGTAATGAAGAATTTTAGAAGTGAATAAAAAGATACTTATTTTGAAGTGAAGAGGGGACAGAGGGAATGTTGTGAAATCCTTCTATTCTGGATGAATTTGGGGAGAAGGTAGTTTAAATCTCCATTGTTACTATTTGTTACACCAGTAATCCTTGAGGTAGCTTTTAGCTGTATACTATTTCTGTTCAGCCACGCACTGGGTGTTCAACAATGATTGTAAAGACTGAGTAGGTATTTCTCTGAAAAGAATTAAAAATAAGGCAGAATACTGTTATTAATGTTTGAAACTAATGGTGCATATCATATCAGGAATGTTGTAAGTTGTTTGCAGCTATAGCTACATAATGGAGTTAAGCTGGCTGCAACTTAAATTTTATAATAAAATAATCAGATAATAAGCTTTTACATACTGTGATGAAAAACGATATAGATTCAACAATTCAATATGTATAATCTTGAAGCAACAGCTGTGTTGTATATTGCAGTGCTTTTTGCAGTATGCTGTATTGTTCAAGGAGAAACTTGGAATCCTTCATTTACCAGTTAAAACACCTTCTGTCCATACTGTGTTGTCTTATAATGTTAACACAATTTTCTTCATCAGTGTCTCTAAAATGGGCTTGATTTTTGTCATCAGCACAGAGGTTCCATTTAAAAAACAGAAGTCTTGCAATATATCACTCGAAGAGGCTGTCTTTGTTGTTACTCACTTTATTCACTTTAAGGCAAGGTGCTCCTATGTCTGATAGTTTTTATATTTTGATTAAAGTTAAGTAATGACTATGTTCACTGTAACAACTGAAATTTGTGGAATCAAATTGCTGCTATAGAATCAACCTTATTAATATTTCATTTTGGATTGAATGTAAAAGTCTCCGTCATTTATTTGTTCTCTGCAAAGATGTTGGACTTTTGTGTCTTTCATTAAAATAAGGAAATATGTAGATTGGTTTTGCATGAAAATCTGAATGCCAGTTTTGTGAGGGAGGAGGGGTTTGAGCCAAAATGCTTTCTCCTCGTGTATCTTCTTTCCTTAGTAGCTGGGTGGTCATTTACGTGGTTGTGAGAAACTTGTACAGAGATAAAATCAGCCATGTTTTCAAAATTCTTATGCAAGGTGTATTTTGATTCTTGCAAACACTAGTTCAGAGTACACAGCAAGAAAATTCCTCAAAGAAAATGTACCTGTTAGGTAACTAACTCTAGAATCCTAGCCTATTGCATTTCAGTGAAATTATTTAATTTGTAAAGAGATTGTTTCTACATTCTTAACATTTTTCTGTAAAAAAAGGTTTAACATGAACAGGCTTGAGACTTGTGGAATTTCTCCTTGTGTTTGACTGTGAGCTGCTATGATACGTGTGGACTGTAGATTTGATGTGAAATGGAAGTGATTTGATAAAACTAAATTACTTTTATCATACCCCAGAACTATTACAGGATTTGAGCATAAACTTGGAAATAATTATTTTATATTGTTGCAAATTTCCTCTTTAACTTTGCTAGAGCCTGAATATTCATAAAGAGGGGAGGTTTATACCTAAAGGTGGTGAAATGCAGCACTCATCTCAGTGAAATGGAACAGGTTCAGAAAGGTGAGCGTTCTCCTGTGTGGGAGACATGTTCAGTCTGCAATTAATAAACTTCTCCACAAGAAAGAATTATAACAAACCTTTCTTGTTGCAATGAATACTAGGAACTTTTATTTGACCTTGCCTTCTTCAAATTCCAGCAAAGCAGTGGATGTATTAAGAATATCTAAGCTAGTGCTTTCAAAGAGGTTTGTTCCTTCACTGGCAAGAAGTTGAAACAGCCAGCATTTCTGGAGCCGTGATGTGCTGCAGCTTCGTGCAATAGGAGAATATACTCAAAATACTCTAGGGGTAAGTACAGTGTAAGAGTAACAGTACTAATGTCCCCCATCTGTTGAGGCTTACTGTGAACAATATTAAAATGCTTATCACATTATAGTGGATATTAGGCTATTAACTCCTCTGCTGTCTTGGTTTTGCAATAATCACAGCCTCTTTTTTTTTTTTTTTTTCTTTCTTTTCCATTTTTTTTCTTCTTGCACCAGGGAGAACATGAAACGTTTAATTCTCGGAACACAGCTTTTGTTTTCATCCTTGCCTTTTTAGTCACTTTTTATGCAGATTTAAATTATTTTAAAAATTTTGCAGCGCCTTGCAGAAGCCCAGTGTTGTGTCAGCTGGCAGCATAAATGTTTCAAGTTTCTGCTGTTACTGCTGCAGATAATATCAGCTGTAGCAAAGCTCTTCCTACGCTGCTGTTACAACAGCCTTTGATCAAAGGGCATTGAGAGGTTAAAAAAAATGGGTGTGGTAACAAAAACATCCTTGACCTGTATAAGATTTGGGTATCTGAAGTTCAGGGAACAGGGCTTGATTTGATTTATTTATTTTACAAGGAGGGTGAAGGCAACTGTGGGAAAAGGCCTAAAGAACCTTAGGAGGAATCAAGGAGATTTATTGTCCAAATACTGAAACTTAAGCGTTTGCTGCAATGTACAGTTGTAATAAGCAAAGAGAAGAGTGTTAGAATGACAGTTACATTTACCATTCTGTTAGAAATCTCTTTTCACTTGCTTTAATATTTATCTTTAGCTAAACCTTTACCTATTCTGCCTACCCCCTTATCAGATACTCAATTGACTGATAAATGGGTGCCTATTAACTATTACTTTGCTCCACTGTCTGGTGTTATATCTGAATATGTGTCACAGAACTTTACATTTATGAAAGCAGTGTGGTTCCATGAAAGGGAATTTCTTGTCAGCTGTGCTTGCCTTATGTTTTACAGATACTCTTTGTGTTAAGCAGAATATTGGTTATTCAGGGTAGTTATCTAGCGTAAAATGAAGTTTGATTATTCAGGGGCTTTACGTCGTGTAAAATGAAGTCTGTGTGGTATAAATCTTAATTCTTTAAGGATTAACAGTTGTTATGTTTGCTAAAGGGAATATAATCTGTCCGGTGTCATTCTGCAGTAAGGTCCATTGTCTGCCTTAAAATGTAAATGAACAAATAAAAGCTTTTCACAAGCTTTGATGGATCAGTTTAGTCTTCTGCATAGTTGTATAGAATATCCTGTATTATCTTTAAGAAAGCAAGCTATTTGCCAGATAGTGTAATTTCATACATTTCTAATCAGCATCTACTAGTTTACTCTTGCCTTCTTGAATAGCAGACTTGTGTTAAATGGCTGAGTAATGTGGACGTTAGGGGAATAATCTTATTAGTAAAGTCAACAGCGTCTGTGTCCTGGATTACTGAATATGGCTGAGTTCTAAGGGTAAATGAGTTGCTTCATAAACCTCAGCGATGGGGTTGGAGCAGACAAACCTCTCTCTCCCCCTGCCCAGTCTCATAGTGTGCCTTTTCTAGAGAAGTGATTCCATCCCTGAATGACTCCCATACTTCTTTCTCTTTCAAGTGTTATAGACAAGTCAATAGTTGGCTGTTCTTTATTTATTTTGTTCTAGAGCGAAACTTAAATGTCTTGAGCAGTGTGAATGCGTCCTGAAATGCGAAATACTAAGTATGATGGCAGATTCCAGTCTGGGTAAGAAGTCTCTTATCAGAGAGATGTGACTGTTTGAAATAGAATTACGAACAGGATTGTTGATTTTTTTTTTTTTCCCCCCTATATAATTCTTTTTATTTTAACCTAAGTCTCTTAATTTTAAAGTGTTTGTAGATAAAAGCTTACTTAGGTGTAATCTCTTAAAATGAAGTCTGTTTGGCTTCTTCTCTTATATTCCTGTAGAAGTTTAATTTTTTCCCGCTTTGGGGTGAGAAAGGACTTGGTTGCTGTAACTGCTAACCATAGCTTTATGTACTCTGAAGAATCCACTTTTTGCTTCAAATCTGTAACTCTAGGGCTCTAGCTGGAAAGGTGTAATGAATCTTCCAGCAGTGGTTCTGGACTGTCCTCCCCAGCCTATTTGCTCTTGGTCCCTTTTGGCATCAGACTCACAGCGATGGTGCAGTAGTTCCAGAGGAACTGGACCTACTGAGATGTGGGCACACCTTTCCTTCTGTCATGGAAAGGCAGGGGAGCATTGCAGTCAGGTAGGACTAGCAAAGGCTTCAAATAATGCTGTTGTTTGCTCAATGCATGTGAGCTGGATTTAGATTTATAAGCAGAATGTTGGTTCTCCTGCTGGTAAGCAAAGACTCTTGATCACTGTAAAACATCCTGGCATCACAAACTTTACGCTACTGCTGTTCCCAAAGGAAGCCATTTTGACTTCCCTTATCTGCTCTCTCTCCAGCGGCTTGTTCCTTTGCAAGTTAACCCCTCATTTGATTAAAAATATATATCTGAAATGAATCTTTTCTTTAAATAGATCCTTTCCTGGATGTAGTTCAAAATGTGGTTATCATAGCGGCAGCTATAGGAAGGAGTGGGGAGGGGAGGAAATTTGGGGAGGAAAAGGAGGAGGATGGCATGGCCATGAAAAGGGGCTGGTTTGTTGCCATTTAAAGTGCTCAGAAGCTGTGACTTCAGTGTTAACTACTACAGGCGCTTGTTAGCCTTGAGCAATACGTCGAGAAGGTGAGAACCTCTTATTGCAATGAGATATTGATTCTGGAATCCAGGGAGAGCCATACTGCCAGATTTCAGTCAACTGCTTGAGTAGACTATCCTAAGATGTGCTTACCCTATAATTTCCACCCCCGCTCCTCCCAGCTTCCATCGCCTGTTCAGGGCTCGTACTGAATGCATAAATAACTAATACGCTTCATTGCAACTTCGGTCATCTATTTTTGCACTCGTCTTTTCCATATCAGCAATTAACACTGTTCCTATGAGCTTGATTTTGCTCCAGTAGCCTGACACATGATGTCAGAACTCTGCCCCTGGATTTGAGCTCAGGGTGAGCCAGCGTCATAAGTGCTGGTCCCTGGTGTCGATAGATTTTTATTTTTTTTTTTATCTCAAAGTCAATATTTATCTGTTTATCCTGCTCCTGCTGGTGAAGATGCTCTGTTTTAGGGCTTCTGGCACAGTGGCGCCGATGCCTGTCGGGATGGACGTGACCTCCACAAAGCGCTCTTGGGAGGGTGCTGGTGGGGCAGGGAGGGCTTTGGGCAGAGGAACACAGGTGGGATGATTTACTTCAACCCTTGCTTGCTCCTCCTGTAGTGAAGGAACTCAGACTTCAGAATCTGCCGTTCACTAAGCCTTCCTCCATCAGTGAAATCCCTTTGCAAACCTGACAAATGTCCATGAACTGGGACGTTACGGCAAGGGAAGCCCTGGATGTGTTTCCAAAGCTGTGTAAGCAGCTGTGGCTCATTGATCTCGCTTGGTGGTGCAGGACCATCACACAACGTCAGCATTTTTCTTGGCTCTTTCCCTAGCGTTTAGCAGAAAAGGTCACCTTTTTAACTTTCTAGTTAAAGACTCTCAGTCATGACAAGCATCTCACAAACACGGCAATTTTGCCAACTGTGGAACAAAGCGTCTTAGCTTTGAGGGGACAACTACATCTCCTTGCATGTTGGCTCTGGAGTTCTTATCCATGGGTGTGATTCAGAGCCTCGTGCCTTTCTTGGATGCGCTTCATCAGCTGCTCCTCCTTTAGCACTGGCCTCTCCCATCCAATCTGGTTTTCTTTAAATGCTGATTGTTTTTATCATTTTCTGCAGCCTGTTTCAGTGGGAGATCTCAGAAACACTCAGGTTGTGGGCCTTGATGTGCAAAGTTTTTAAAAAAGCTCCGTACGAGGTTCCCCCTGGAATTTCACTCGCCGGGGTCCGCAGTTTGGCGTCTTGTCCCTCTGGAGACCGGGCTAATTAAGAGAGCTCACCAGCGTAATTATACATTCTCGTGATAAG